CGGGATCAGAGCTTGGCGCCATAAACTAACGAGAACGGTGTTGCTCCCGTGCTGGATTTCGATGTTGTGCGGTATGCCCATAGAACCTCGGGTAGTATTTCTCTCCATTTTTCTTTGACGTCGGTCAATCTCTTCTTAAGATTTTGGATGATGGTTTTGTTGGTCGATTCGGCTTGTCCGTTCCCGCTGGGATGATAAGGTGTTGATAGGATCCTTTTGATCTTGTGATCCTCGAGAAATTTAATTACTTTGCTGTCGATGAATTGTTTTCCATTATCACATACAATTTCTAAGGGAATCCCGAATCGACATATGATGTGGTCCCAAATGAAGACTATGACTTCCTTTTCTCTGACTTTCTCGAAAGCCTGTGCTTCAACCCATTTAGAGAAATAATCAGTCATAAACAAAATAAATTAAACTTTACCTGGGGCCGACGAGAGAGGGCCAACGATGTCCATTCCCCATTTCATGAAGGGCCATGGGGACATGACCGAGTGGAGTACTTCCTTGGGTTGATGAATAATGGGCGCATGCCTTTGGAGTTTGTCGCATTTTCGAATGAACTCCCTTGTATCCTTCCCCATATCGGTCCAATAGTACCCTGCTCTGATTACTTTGTGGACCAGCGATTCGGCACCAGAATGATTTCCACAAGTTCCCTCGTGCACTTCCCGTAGGATGTAGTCGGTATCTCCCGGTCCCAAACATATTTCCAACGGTCCATCGAACGTCTTTCTAAACAGTGTTCCATCTTCAGAAAAAATGAATTGTGTTGCCTTTATGCATATAGCTCTCAACTCATTTGGATCTGATGGAAGCTTCTCGTTCTTTAAGTACTCTATGTACTTGTTTCTCCAATCCCAGGTTAAACTTGTAGAGTTTATCTCGGTGTGACCTTCTTGATTACCGGTTTCATGAGTTGTACGACAGTCCCCGAGTTGAGTTCGTCGTCTTCGGCCGATGAACCTAAGTCTGCAAGAGCGTCGGCCTCGTTGTTCTGTTCTCGAGGTACATGTTGCAAGGTCCATTCCCTAAACCGATGTAGAGTCACCTATAGTTTATCCAAGTACCTCTGCATTCGGTCTTATCAGACTTCAAAAGTCTCGTTCACTTGGTTTACCACGAGGAGGGAATCACACTTAGCCTTTATGATCTCCGCCCCCAAGCTTCTAGCTAGTTCGAGACCTGCAATCATGGCCTCATACTCGGCCTCATTGTTAGTCAATTTTGTAGTTCTGATGGACTGTCTAACTACATTACTTGTGGGTGATTTTAGTACGATGCCTAATCCGGACCCCTTCGCGTTCGAAGCACCATCCGTAAAGAGGGTCCAGACTCCCGAAGATGTACCCGATTTTATCAGTAGTTCTTTTTCAACCTCGGGTATGAGGGTCGGCGTAAATTCAGCCACGAAGTCCGCCAAGATTTGAGACTTGATGGCGGTTCGGGGTCGATACTCAATATCGTACCCACTAATTTCTACGGCCCATTTGGCCAATCGACCCGAAAGCTCGGGTTTGTGAAAAATATTTTGAAGAGGATAAGTTGTTACAACACATACTGGATGACATTGGAAATATGGTTTTAGTTTCCTAGAGGCACTTATTAAAGCAAGCGCTAATTTTTCTAAGTGTGGATATCTGGTTTCGGTCTCACCTAAGGCCCGATTAACATAATAGACAGGAAATTACGTACCTTGTTCTTCTCGGACCAGGACTCCGCTTATCGCTATCTCCGAGACTGCCAAGTACATGTAAAGTTGTTCGTCCACTTTCGGGGTGTGAAGCAATGGCGGGCTCGATAAATACCTCTTTAGTTCCTCCAAGGCCTACTAGCATTCCGGAGTCCAGGCGAAATTGCTTTTCTTCTTAAATAGCGAGAAGAATCGGTGGCTCTTATCTAAGGATCTCGAAATGAATCGTCCTAGGGCGGCTATCCGCCTCGTTAGCCTCTACACGGTCTTTACATTATCCACTACCGTGATATCCTCGATAGCTTTGATTTTATCAGGGTTGATCTCGATTCCCTGATTGGACACCATAAAACCAAGAAACTTGCCCGAGCCAACCCTGAATGCACACTTTTCGGGGTTGACCTTCATATTGTACTTCCTCGATATATCGAAAGTCTCCTGCAAATGCTTTAAATGGTCCTCTGCTCGCAGGGACTTAACTAACATGTCATCAATATAAACCTCCATTGATTTTCCTATTTATTCTTCAAACATTCGGTTTACTAGGCATTGATAAGTTGCACCAGTATTTTTTAGACCGAATGGCATTATATTATAACAGTAGGTATCGTACTTAATGATAAATGAGGTCTTTTCCTGATCCTCCGGGTTTATTTGTATCTGGTTGTACCCGGAGTAGGCATCAAGAAAACTGAAAGTCTCGTGGACGGTCGTGGCATCGATCATACGATCGATATTAGGCAAAGGAAAAGAATCATTGGGGCATGCTTTATTCAGGTCTTTATAATCTATACACATACTAAGTTTGTTTCCCTTCTTAGGTACTACCACTATGTTTGCTAACCATTCGGGATACTTTACTTCCCGAATGGATCCTATTTTGAGAAGTTTGGTTACTTCGTCCTTGATGAAGGCATGTTTGACCTCGGACTGGGGCATTCTTTTTTGCTTCACCGGGCTGAATTTAGGATCCAGGCTCAGTTTGTGAGTGGTAATTTTTTGTGGGATCCCTGTCATATCGAGGTGAGACCAAGCAAAACAATATATGTTAGCTTTAAGGAAATGAATAAGTTGTTTCCTAAGCTCTGGGGTTAGCCCCGTGCTCGGGTATACCTTTTGTTCGGGCTAATGCTTGGCTAGTGTGACTTGTTCCAGCTCTTCGACCGTCGATTTGGTGGCGTCGGAGTCATCGTGAATTATGAAGGATCGAGGGATCCAGTAGTCGTCATCCTCGTCGATCCCTTGCTTCTGTAATTGGGTCGAGGCCGGTGTCTGTGGTTGCTATTTGGCCTCCTGCTTTCCCTTCAAATTTGATCCCTTCATTGATGAGAGCGTCGATACCGATATCACTTCATCGACTTCAAACATCTCCTTGGTGGTGGGTTGTTCTCCGTACACTGTTTTGACTCCCTCCGATGTCGAGAACTTCAGAACTTGGTGAAGGGTCGAGGGTATTGCCCTCATGTTATGGATCCACGGCCTTCCGAGTAGGGCATTGTACCTCCTGTCACCCTCGATCACGTGGAACTTTGTTTCTTGGATGGTCCCGGCCATGTTCACTGGCAAAGTAATTTCACCTTTGGTGATTTCGCTTGCCATGTTGAAGCCGTTAAGTACTCAGGCTGTAGGCATAATTTGATCTTGTAGGCCGAGCTGTTCTACGACCCTCGATCGAATAATGTTGGCCGAGCTACCTGAATCAATCAAAACACATTTAACTTGAATTTTATTCATAAGGACAGATATTACCAGTGCATCGTTATAGGGTTGTAAGATCCCCTCTGCATCCTCGTCATTGAAAGACAAGGTCCCTTCCGGTATGTAGTCTCGAGTCCGTTTTTCCCTCGCGATCAACACCTTGGTGCATTTGAATACAGTCCCCTGAGGAGTATCGACCCCTTCAACAATCATATGGATCACGTGTTGTGGCTCTTCTTGCTCATTCTGTTTGTTTGAATCTTTGTTCCTTAAATGATTTTTAGCTCGATCGCTTAAGAATTCTCGAAGATGCCCTTCGTTGAACAAACAGGCTACCTCCTCCCTCAGCTGTCTGCAATCTTCTGTTTTATGACCATGGTGCCATGATATTTGCACATTTGATTAGGATTTCTCTGGGCCGAATCAATGTGTAAAGATTGGGGCCACCTGGTGTCTTTGATGAGCCCAATGGCCGATACAATAGCTGATGCATCAATGTTAAAATTGTCGTAGTGCTTCTTTGGGTTCGACATTTCTGTCGAAACTTCTTTTACTCATGAGCCCTCGAGAGATCTGTCCTCGATAATGTCTTCTATTAGTTCGATCGGGGTTGCGTCCAGGCCCGTTGTTTCTCCGATCTCCACCATATGGCTGATATCGATATATGTTTGACCGTGGTTCCCGGTCAATATCCCTTTTAACTATGTCCATGGTCCTGTTTGGGTAAACGGACCCGTAAGGAGTCCCCAACTAGTCATCCTCGACCCTAATCTTTGACTGGTACTGATTATGTACGTCGGCCCAGGTTACAACTGGATGTTCGATTAAGTTCTACTTCAACTGTTGAGAGGCTACCGAACTTCGTATATTTAGGCCTTGAGTGAAATCCTGAACGGCCCAATCGTCAGCGACTCGGGGCAGATCCATGCGCTGTATTTGGAACCGAGATACAAACTCTATGAGCATCTCGTTATCTGTCTATTTTACTTTGAAAAGGTCCGATTTTCTAGTCTCGACCTTTATCGCTCTGGCGTGTGCTTTGACGAAGGAATCAGCTAGCATGGCAAAAGAATCAATGGAGTTAGGTGGCAAATTATGATACCATATCATCACCCCCTTTGATAAAGTTTCTCCAAATTTCTTCAGTAGTACGGACTCAATCTCATCGTCCTCTAGATCGTTCCCCTTTATTGCATATATGTAAGAAGTGACATGCTCGTTGGGGTCGGTAGTTTCATTATACTTGGGAATTTCTGGCATTCGGAATTTCTTCGGAATGGGCTTAGGATCCGCGCTCGGGGGGAAGGCCTTTTGTACGAACTTCTTTGAATCCAAACCCTTCAAAATCGGCGGTGCCCCCGGAATTTGATCAACTAGGGAATTATATGTTTCCATTTTTTTTGTCATTCACTTCAATTCTCTTTTCCCCCGATTCAATTCGCTTTGTCAACTCCTCGAACATTTTCAAGATAGCGGGGTCAGTCCCTGACTCATTCACATTTGACCTCCCGGGCACTGGTTCGGCCCTGTGAACAACTTCCTGTGATGGCTCGGGTTCGACCCTACTCGGTGCGTGGTTCTGATTTTGAAGTTGTGCTATTGCAACTTATTGAGCCTGCAGCATTTCGAATATTATTCGAAGGCTGATTCCGCCTTCTTCACCGCCCTGTGCATTCTGACCGGCTGATCGAACGTCTCTGCAGATGCTACTTTTGGGGTCGACGCCTAGATTTTCATTCAGGGCAACATAGGAACTGACGTCGATGGGGTCTGCAACTGGTACTCCCTCGAGATCAACTGGAAGCACTTTGTTTCCTAGGGCAGCTACGTTGTCATTTTCGCCATGAAAATCAAGACCATTGTCGATGTGTGTGGGTACTGCTTGAGAGTTCGACATGCTGATCCTGGAATCAAAAACGCTTACAAGAACAAGTGTAAAGCAGTGTGTGTTATGAAAATTAGCACCAGGCAATCACTATTATCCTTAGTCCCACGGTGGACGGCAAACTGTTTACCCTTAAAATCGGATAACAATTAAATTTGTAAGTGGCTTTAAGGATATGTGATTTCACTTGGCACAAACTGAGAAATACAATAATTGAAGTTAGAAATTAACTGTAAAATAAGACAAACCAATGTAACGCGCAACTTTGGCCCTCGAGCTAGGTCGCCCTCGAACCAATGTAAAATGAGATAAACCAATGTAGCGTGCAACTTTGGCCCTCGAGCTAAGTCGCCCTCGAACCAACTGAGTATATTATTGAAAAGTAAGAACTTAACAATTGAATAAGAGAGCTTAAGAGAGAAAACGTAATATATTGCTTTGTTATGAGTGTCTCTTTACAAAATAATTGGAACCCCCTTTATATAGTAGAAGAGTTCTACATATGGTACAATTCTAAATACAGAAGAAAATCTTCTGATTGGCTAATCAACAGGTCTTGACATGATACATGCCGAGATCTCCGCCACAATCCTCGCCCGATCACGAATTCCTCGGCTTTCTGTTATTCGACCTAGCAGGCTTCCTTCGATCTCGCTAGATCCCTATCTTTCTCGGTCTCGACCTTAGCTGGTCTCGATCGATCCCTGAATCACGAGCTAGGCAATATTTATTCATGTAACAATCCAATATAACTTGGGATTGAACCTCAGTTTGTCACCCCGGTCTCGATTACCATAGCCCGATTTTGACCCTATACACATGATAATTAGGAACGTGAAGAGGCACAATCCTAAATAAGCTGACGTCTGGTATTTGATTTCTTATATCCATTTTGGTAAATAATCGGTGAAATATAACACGAGATTCGTAAATATAATACATGAAATTTTTGTAGGGTCATTTTCGTATGCCCCGTAAGGCCAACTCGAACCAACGATCCATTCACAGTAACAAAGATGCAAATCTAACAGCTTGGTTAAGTTTTAGTTTAGCGTTAAACTTATGACGGTCATGAGAAAATTCTAGTGTCTAATGTTGAAACTTTGTTAACCTTTAGTCGACAGGTCAAATACAACGCCTCTCGGAACCTTCTCTATTAAGAACGTCCACTTGCACTTGATGAAAGGTCTTCAGGGCAAAGCTAAAACTTTAGTGGATTATGTCAAAGTATATTTTTAGATAGCCAAAATCTTAATTTATTTTCCTTCTCTTTCTCTGCGGCCATGGTTCATAAAAGCCAAGTTCAGACCACCCTACGCTTTGTTTCTTTGATAATTTTAACTAGGGCAGTACTGGTGGGAGAGCAGCACACTACTACGTGAACCTTTTCTCAGCTTGCAATTTCAGTATTTAAAGGAGAGACTTAAGGATATTTTTGCAATAGATCAGATCAATATAGTTGACGCCGCAAACCTTTGATGAAGACAACCAAGACAAACAAGCATAGAAAATTCATCAGAATTTAGAACAAGAATAACTGAATTGTAACACTAGTTGCTAGAAAAATATTCCTCGGCTTCAACATACAAATAATTGTCACGCAGAATCGTCACACCCACATAGGCATGACAGACAACGGGAGGCAGCTTTATTACAAGTCAGTACAAATTTTAAAAAAATAAATAAAAGGAAAACAAAATTTGTCCCACCTCCCAAAAGTCAGTTTCTAAAAGTTACAGTGTATAAATAACACATTAAAGCTAAGCCGGACTTTCCACCTCTCTGTTTTTGTAAACAGCAATTATCTTGGCTGCAGTTTTTAGACTGACTGGCAGAAAGATATCTAAATTACTACAAGAAAGTCACCGTTTCCCAGCGGCTTTTCTAGCAGAGGGAGCAGAATCCTCATCATCTGACTCAACATCTCCGTATTCCCACATTCCAAGTCTTTTATCTTTTGCTTCTTTTTGGTATTTTTCCAATTCATCCATAGCCTGTTGTCTATCCTTTGGCTCAAATCTCCTCCTTTTCTCCAACCTAGCAAGTCCTTCCTGATATTTGAACAGCTCATTGTCAGTAAACAATTATGCTGTAACCCCAGACAAACATAATCCTTGCTACAGACTATTTAGAGGGCTAAAGAAAAGCTCAAACAGGCAAAGAAAGTGATTGAAATGAGGACCGTATGTTTCTATTGATACATCTCCTAGTTTACATCAATTATTATCACAGGAATGTAGTCAAACATTGAATGCACTGGACATACTTCATAACAAGTCCCAGCAACAAAACTCTTTGAGGCACCCAGGGGTGTAGCATAGTGCTCAATGAAGTGGGAGGGTTCAAATCCTAGCGGAGGCAAAAAATGCTACATAATTTCTTCCCATCTGCCTATGCCCTAGTGGCCAGAGTTACCCCGTACCTGTTTTGGTGGGAGGTAACAGGTGCCTGGAGGATAGCCGAGGTGCGCGCAAGCTAGCCCGGACACTACCATCGTAAGTTTAAAAAAAATAATAATAATACTCTTTGAAGCTCAAATCAGTCATCCTTCACAATAATATGGTTCTACCAAAATGAAACTTAATTTTTTGTGAGTTGGTGCTCGGGTAACTTTAATTTTTTGTGACTTGGTGCTTGAGTGGGGTTCTTTTTGGTTTGGGGGGGTTNAGCAAAACTGCACAGCTGAGCAAGACCAGGAGTAGAGGACACAGAAGCATCAAGGGGTCGCAACTGACTGTAGGGAACCACTTCTTGGTTTCCGTAGTCGATGTAGAAAACTTCAAACCTGTCTTGAGAAGACTGTACAGCACCTCGAGGAGCATTTACAATCTACCCATATTTTAAAGTACAAAATTAGAAAGAGGAATAAAGTATGACAAGCAAGAGGAATAAGTATGACAAGCAAGAAGAATAAAACATGAAATCACCTCTGTAACTCAGAGCAATAAAGTGATATTTCTAAACCAACAGAGAGAAATAACCCAACCATCATGAATATGTGTGTATATATATATACATATATGATATATGTCTCTCTCTCTCTATATATATATACATACATACATATATATATATATATATATATATATATATATATATATATNATATGGGAGATCATGTCAACTGAAACTTTCATCCACCGGGCATGCTCTCACACTTGACGCCACTACGATATAACATGCAAATATTGCTTTCTATAGACATGTTAGAATATGCAAAGCTAGGTCCTATGAGTAATTTGACTAACAGCTACTACCTATTCAAATCGAAGCATAACAAAAAGAGATCAGTGACCTATGAACCTTCACGTTGGAAAACTACATGTATCAAAATATAATACAAGAAAGAGGATGGTTGGAATTTCACCATTGCTCGGTTCCATGAATTATCTGCACTGAATTGAGCAAGAACAAGATCTCCTTTCTTTGGATTGAAGGCACCAATTACAGGAGCTTCCTGAAGGTTGAGAGAAGCAAGCTGCCTCTGAAGGGTGGTGACTTTCTGGTCTGTGACCGACTGAACATAAATTTTTCCCCCTCCCAAAACTTCAGTGACCGTGACCTGAGAATATAAATGAATAACATTATGGAAGGCCATGTAATCAAAACACAAACTGCATACACCTTCAACTCAACAGCAGTAACTTATGTCCAAATAATTGAGAAGCACCATATGTAACTACATTACCTTCACCTCTTCTTTTTGACGTCTTTCAGCAACAGCACCACTTGAAACTACCTCTCCCTCGACATAATTCTCCCATATCTGCACTTGTGCAAGTTAATATTACAAGAATGTGGGACTAATAAGTGTGATATGTACTGTCTAAGTCACTTACCTTCAGTTTCTGCCTTTTGGCAGCCTGTTCAGCTTGCATGAGGAGGTGAGCATCCTGCAATCTATCAGCACCAACGGAAGTTTGCATTCTAGCCAATCCAGCTTCTAATAGTATCACTGCCACATTGGATCTTGACTCCCATAATGTGCCCAAGAAAGTTCCAGTTCTATCAACTGTTTCTACCTCAATCTGAGCGAAGAACATGTAGGAAATGCGAAATAAGAGAAAATTTCAAGGCAACTAGTTATATGATAAGAAAACGGACCTCAGGCCTAACTCAACTCCAAAATTTAGCTCATGAGGTAAGGATTGTCAAGATCACACAAGGAGAACAACTCACACCCTCAACCAATATGGAATACTAATATCCCCCCCCACCCCCACCCCCACC